AGAAGGCTATCAGATTGGTCAAGCATGATTTCCTCCCTTTGGTGAATCCATGCTGACTACTCCTGATCACCTTCTTGTCCTCCAGATGCTTAGCGAGGACCTCCAGGAGGAGCTGTTCCACCACCTTTGCAGGGATGGAGGGGAGGCTGACAGGCCTGTAGTTTCCTGGCTCCTGCTTCTTGCCCTTTCTGAAGGCTGGAGTGACACTGGCTTTCTTCCAGTCCTCAGGCACCTCTCCTGTTCTCCAGGACCTTTCCAAGATGATGGAGAGTGGCCTAGCGATAACATCCGCCAGCTCCCTCAGCACTCGCGGGTGCATCCCATCGGGGCCCATGGATTTGTGGATGTCAGGTTTGCACAAATGATCTCTAACCTGATCCTCCTCCACCAAGGCAGGGTCTTCCTTTCTCCAGACTTCCTCTCTTGTCCCCAGGGTCTGGGATTTCTGAGGACTGGCCTTAGCAGTAAAGACTGAAGCAAAGAAGGCATTCAGCAACTCTGCCTTCTCTGTAGCCTTCGTTACCATGGCACTCGCCCCATTCAGCAGCAGGCCCACATTTTCCCTAGTCTTCCTTTCACTATTGATGTATTTGAAGAACCCCTTCCTGTTGTCCTTGACATCCCTTGCCAGATTTAATTCTAAACGAGCCTTAGCCTTCCTTGTCGCATCCCTGCACACTCTGACAACGCCCCTGTATTCCTCCCAAGCGGCCTGTCCCCTTTTCCACATTCTGTACACTTCCTTCTTCTGTTGGAGTTTTGCCAGGAGTTCCTTGCTCCTCCATGCAGGTCTCCTGCCCGCTTTGCTGGATTTCTTACTCAGAGGGATGCACCGCTCTTGAGCCTGGAGGAGGTGATACTTGAATATTAACCAGCTTTCCTGTACCCCGCTTCCTTCTAGGGCCCTACCCCATGCGACTCCTCCAAGCAGGTCCCTGAAGAGGCCAAAGTTAGCTCTCCTGAAGTCCAGGGTTGCGATCCTACTTATTGCCCTGCTCCCTCCTCGTAGGATCCTGAACTCCACCACCTCATGGACGCTGCAGCCAAGGCTGCCCCCAACCTTCACATCTCCAACTAGACCTTCTAGTATGCAGGTGACCTCATTATTTAGCAAGTAAGAGAGGTCAGTTTTAACATGACTCAAAGTTCAAAGTTATTAAATGTATGAGAGAAAGTTTGAAGAGGTTAAAGGATGAATTCCATTTGTCAAGAATTTTCTGAAGTCACAAACGTTAGAGAAAAATGAAGAGAAATAAAAACAAAATAGCAAATAAAGAGGAGTCACGTAAAATGTAAAGAGGATACTCATTTTTTACATAGGCCTTATAAGTAATAAATTCTGTTGGACAGGGGAAACAAAGAAGCAACAGATATGCAAAGTTTCAGCACTAACAGAAAGTAGCGTTTTACCATGATGCATAGTGGTATAAGTGACTGTCGAATGTTTAAACTTCCTTCTCATGCCAAGAAGCCTAGACTACTGACAAAGTTACAGCCAGTATCTCAAGGTAAACATTCAAAACCCTAAATTTTTAACAGATCTAATAATACAAGTGAACTCTGCTTTGAAATATTTAATACATTTCATTCTGGCTGCTAGATCATTTTTTTGGTATGCTAAACAGCATTACATGTTCAGCTAAAAAAAAAAAAAGAAAAAGGAAATACAGACAGATAAGCAGAGTTATGCAGATACGTACACTCAGTTTAGCAACTTGCATCTCTCAAAGTCCCACTATAGTGGTATCCAGAGCAGAAAAGAACATGGTTAACTCGCAAAACAAAACCAAGACAGAGATAATGGGTTAAACAAAAGTCAAACAAGAAGTAGTGAATGTAACTTCAGTTTATATGGGAGGCCAAAAAAAAACTAGGAAACACGTGCATACTGCAAAAGAAGCTAAATTCCCTTGGGAAACGTTAAAAAACACACAACAGAAAATGCCCTCCTTTATTGGTGAACAAAAACAAATAAGTGAACAGAAACAAAGGGTTAATAAAGTCCAAAAGCACAAGAAAACCCACAAGTAACTGAAATGCATCCTCATCCAGGATGTACAGTGCAGGAAAAAATCAACATATCTCAGGTTCTGAACACAGAACAAACAGAATCATTGAACTAGCATCTCTAACAAGCCAAGAAAGCAAAACCAGTAGTATACATAATGACTAAAGGACAGATACTTCCAGATAAATTAACTGCAGTGTTTCTGGTTCAATACACAGGCTGCCAGTCATGCAGTTGTAATGTTTGCAACTACATTGCATAATCAATGGCCAGTTCATTTCTAGACAGTATGGAACATGCAGCAATACATTCCCAAGAACACTGTTAAGCAGCAGTACTAGAAAAGAAAAACCTGACAGTCAGGGCAACTCAAAATACCAGGTGAGCCATTTAGACCTACTGCAACAGGAAGATGCATCATGGGATGAATTCAATCCTCAAGAACAAATATTTGAAAGAATAAAGAAAATCACAAGTCCTAAATTACAGCAGCTTTATGAAGCAGCTAAAGCTAGTGTGTTGCTTTGGGAGGGGACTTGAAGTGATGCAAAACCTGATTTTGGAGTAGACCCCCGATAAGTACAGGAAGGAGGATAGCGTGTTAGAAAGGGTACAGCAAGAGGTATGTTTGGGTTGGAAATAAAAAATATGCAACTGGTGTGCATAAACGCATCACTGGAATGGAATGATTCGTTATTTCACCTTTCAAAAGGATCAACTGCAAGAAGCCATCAGCATACCTTCATGTTTCTGAACACCTTGAGGTTTCTACAGTATTTACGGCAATTTCATTTCACCAATATCATGAGCTATTAGACAGGAAAGTCACTAACAGGATGTAGCACAAGACATACAGTCCAACAACTGTCACCCTTCAATCCCTTTGTATTTCTGAAAGGCAGTTCCAATGCAGCACTGAACAAGACTGTGTATGACCACAACTTCACATGTAATACGGGTCGAATCAAAAGGAACAGGCCACAAAGGTTATTCTGCATTCTGATATCAGACACGTACATGAATATGCACACAAACAAGATAGCAAGAAACAAGAACTATCATCCCAAGATAGACACAAGATTACACCTGAAAACAGAGCTATGCCAGAGGTACAGTCCAGACTTTATGTACTAACAAGAACAAATGTCCAGCTGAGCACACAGAACACCACAAAGTGCATCAAGACACTGGTGAAACAAAAAGCCCCAACAAGTTCTGCAGAGTCAAGAGCTTATAAAGAGGTTGAAATGAGAGCCTCAGGAAGTCAGATCGAATACATGTAGTTGTATCACAACCTGCTTTGTCATGTTAGCTCTTTGAAGTTAATAATTTTAACCAGATAAAAGAAAGAAAATGGTATGTTTAAAAGAAAAAGTACCAAAAACCCCACACTGTTTTGGAAAGAAATCCTCAGAGCTGCCACTTGTCTTTTATATCAATCCTTTCTTTTGCTGTCTCCCCTCTCCCCATACATCACCAGCACACTTTGTAGAAAACTCTTCTACATCTGTAAACATAATTATCACCAAATTATTTGCAGCACTCAACTTTCAGTCATCATCTGCTCCACCCTGAAGCAGCTGCGCTATGTTTCAGAACAGCTGAAAAAACTGCACACAGTACATAGATTATACACCTCCTGAAAGATTAAATAAATACCACTGCAAACAGTTCTTGCCTCAGAAAGCATACTCGGTAAAAAGTTTTGGTCTGTGAAACTCTGCAGATAGGGCAAATAAACTCTAACTGGCAACATCTGACAAGCATTTGGCTTTTCCTTGCCTACAGTGTAGCACAGTCAAAGAACACTTCATCAGTGAATTCCATTTCTATCTCCAGATGAGTGATTCTCAGTTTTGTACATGAATTTATCTACTACAGTATTTGACTATAATCTATAGCCCTGTATTGCAATTCCAGGAGTGGCTCTGTTGTCAGATTTCACTGAGAGCAGAAAGCGCATATTACTTAAAAATAACCCCACACATCTTTCTCACTGGGATTTTCATTACTTATACAGACATCTCATGTTTACATTTACCTACCCAGTAACTGCAGGCAGCCAAATAACAGTGCAGTAAAAAGCTAATAGAATTCAGCATGGGTTTACAGAACTCGGAAAGAGTTACAAAACTGTTTGAAGTGCAAGGTTTATGCACTAGTTAAGATATGCAGATTTGACACATTTTGAAACACTAAAGTGTTACCAGCTCTCTTTAATTTTCCAGTAGCTCTGGCTACCTTTCATTACTAACAAGCTGAACAGTTAAGTTCAGTATAGTTACCATCAGCTATTGAGTTTAAAAAAAAAAAAAAAAAAAAAAAAACACACCACTAAAGAGATCTGGATCAGTTATAAGAGAACTGCATTCAAACGCTATAGGAAAAAGCAAAAATATACATATGCAAAGAAAAGCAAAAAAAGTCTTTAAGAAGCCAGCTAGAAATTTTCAAATAGGTTACACCATCTTATTATGTACAAAAGTTTTAGGTTTAAATGATCAGATTGTAAAATTTGCACATCTTACAAACATAAGAAAATATTTCCAAGCATCTGTTACAAACATCCATAAATTTGAATATATTCTTTTACTACAAGAATTAGAGTCACTCAAACATAGGAATGATCAGGATATAAAAAGTATCAGTTTTCAGCAAAATTATTTTTTCTTCATTTTGTAGGTTGTATACAGGGACAAATACATGAAGACTTATCGGAAAATTATTATTCATTATTTACCTTTAAAGCACAAAATATGCAAGCATCTCCCTGACACACATGTCCAGTTAAACCTCTTAAACTCCGCCGAAATATGTCAAGTTGCCATAACACCTATAAAAATAAAGTTGCACAGAAAATAAGGACTCTGTTCTGAAAGTTCTCAAAGTTTAACACTGCAACAAACAGTAGATTTTCTTTTTTTTTAATTTTTATTTTCACATAACACATACAATATGAGCACCATGATTTCTACAGGAATGACAGTCCTTTTCTATTAATCTGGCAAATTGTGGAGGCAGAAGTGGAAGGTTTGCATTCGCCACTCATATTAAATGTGGATCTCTCAATTTTTTTCAAAATACTGTGTTTTGGGTAGAAAAACTTGCAGTACTTTAAATGAAACAAGCAACAAGCTAAATTGCATGCAGGGGTTGTAATAGTCTTTTTATGGAATTAAAACAGGAAGAAGGTTATAGATTCAACTTCATTTTTACCTCTCCCTCCCTCCTCTGCTTTCATTCAAATGAAAAAGACAAAGACATGGAAACTGAACTGCTAGATAAAATGTGAATAATACTACAGCTTAAACCCACGCTATACTCACGCTCTCTTACTTAGAAAGATTGTTGAACAATGTTTGCTTTTCACAAATCAAAATAATCCACTGCTGCTTTATCAATTTTGAGTTTCTACCTTTGTGTTAACTACCTTATACAAAGGTAATGTCAGTTTGGCTGCAGCATACTACTTCCAGTATCTGCCGTCTTAGGTACACATTCAGTGCAGTAGCACAAACAGTGGTCACATTAAAAAAAGAAAAAGAGAGAGAGAGAGAGAGACAGACACACCCCCAAAAAACCCCAAAAATCAGTTTTCAAAAGGCATAGTAATACAACAGCTGAAAATCCAGAAAAATAAAAGTCCTCTCTATAAATAAAAAAATCAAAAATCTATGAATATAAACGCTAAAATGAATTTGGATACATTAGAAAATGAATGTAAGAACCTCCGTTCTGAAGGTTAAACAGGGGAGAAAAGGAGAGAAAAGAAAGAAACACAAGGAGGAATTGCGACTGCCCTTTTACAAGGAGGAAGCCTATCAGCCACTATTTGATAAACAGCAGTAGGTTGTGAAGTAGTAGGATTGTCTAAAACTATAACTACAAATGACTTACAGTTTAATTTTAGGGCACCCTAAGGGAAAACAGAAACAGTAAAACTAAAACAGAATATAGGTCATGCTGTTCCCATTCAATGTAAAACAGCATATTCATTCTACTGAATCCACCATTTGTTTTTGCTTTAAACATCATATATATACATCATATACACACATACACACCCCCAGTGTAACTGTATCTATATCTATACTTAAATCTATTTTCAAGACTTACAGTTTTAGAAAGTCTATGCCTCTATTACACCTTCTGCCAGTTTGGCAAATAATTCTGTACAATTCTCAATCAAGTCCAAAAAAAGCATTACAACACAATATATTGTTCTGCACCTTCCCCTCCCCCCTCCATCCTAGAATTCTTAAAATATTTGAAAATGTACCTTTTAGGTTAAAAACATCTGTACTATAAATTAAACTGCAGCTAACATTCTGACCCACAGACAAAACTGGAAAGGTTAGCAATTCTGTGTCACAGAATTAATTAGATCCCCGTATTCCCTGTCATAAGCAAGGCTTGTAAAAGCTCAATTTTTTTGTGCTAACATCATTGTACTATTAAAACACACTTCAGAGATCTAAACAGGCAACCTTTTTTCCAATTACAGTCCATGTAAAAAAATAAACACTGTGTAAGCAGATGCATGTTCAGGAAGTTGCTCTGTAAGACACATGCATTTAAACAGTAAAAGGAATCCTAACTCATATATCTCCGGTATCAAGTGTATTTCATATTCTGCTCATTCTATAAACTTTCCTGAGAATGGAATACAGTCTTTCAGGTACATCTGCATCTTCTGATATACCCAAAAAACACAGATTTGTGTGCTAATTCTAAGAAAATAATATTTTAATAAAAATCATATGCTATTGAGTATAAGTAGTAGTACTGCCTGCCCTGCTTTAAAAAGCATCTTATAAACTTTGCCAAGTAATAAAAATATTTATGTTTGACAGAAACTTTAGCTTTAAAATTCAAGCAATAAGTTTTAAGGTCCTAAAAGCAAGCTTTCAAAGAGGAAAGTTTTCTTGCTATTGTTGATTCACGCAAGCAAAACAAAATGCTTTTTTAAATATGTCACCCTTTGCAGAACTGTATATATTCAACATTCACAATCAATTATTTAAAATCAAATGCCAAATAAAATTACTTCCACACAGTCTTCTTGTTTCTACAACAGCCATCTTTTGCTCAGGAAAGCCATTTTCAACTAAGCATGCTATACTGTCTCATTTAGCATCATTAAGCAGCTTAATGAACTGAGAACCAAATTCAAATTATTGAGAAGCATGCTGTATTCTTCTGCAGAATGCAGCTACTGCAAGACAAATGATAAAAAGGGAGCATTTCCAAGTGAACACTTTCCTTACTATGACTATCTAGACTGCTACAAAACCAGAACTGTTTAATAACTCAAATGTAAAAGAGTGTTTTCTTACCTGAACAGCACTATTAAGAAAGCAGCTGTTTTGTCCTGGTTCATTTAGTAAGCCTTTTGTGGGGGCCAGGGACAATATACTTCCAGGCTGATAAACTTTTCCAAGGTTACCTCCAGGTTTTCTTAAGAATTTCACCCATGCCATTATTTTTTAGATTATTATAATTGCACTATTTACACTTAAATATTTAAGGATATGATGGGTGCAAGGCAAAGGAGGAGGTCCTAAGAGAATTGCTCTGAAGTCATGGCATTCCATTCAACTCTGTCACAGTAACCATTTCAGGGGTTTACGTCAATATTCCACGGGCAGCTGATGGCCATCTATCAGAAAGAGCTTGTCAATTAAAATAAAGTCACCAAAGTTTTTAACTCTGGGACTAAAAACAGGGGAAAAAAACAACAAAAAAAATATGGTGTCCAACTAAGCTTAAAATATCTTAAGAGCTAAAGTTATTAGAATAAAAGCTCTTTTTAAGAAAGGTCTACAGTAACTGTCTTCTCTTTCGACATATATTAGTAAGGTATTACTACAAATCATGGGCTGTATTATGTCACGAGTTCAGATATATCACAAAAACAGAAAAATCTTGACAGGCATTATAATCCTGTTCTCTCATCTCCTTCTGTCTTCTTTTTCCTTTTAACTATGGCCCATGAAACATACTCCAGTTTAGAAGACTCCATGTTTTATTTCATTCTTTTCCAGTGAATCTATAATAGGGGAAAAAAAAAACAGAAAATATAAGTATAGCATTTTCCAAAATGTTAAAGACCTTCTAAATCAGAGAACATGTTAAAAAAAAAAAAAAAAAGCAATAAGCAAGGAAGAGGAGAAGTAACAATTTCCACTTAAAAGCTGTTCTTAAGGCAGAAAAAAATTGATTATTTTATCTGTCATAATCAAGTATAATTATATTCCAACTTATTATACATCTACAGAAGTCCACAACTTACTTTAAAGGTTAAATTATGCTAAAAATATGCAACACCTTGGAAAAAGACCACAGATGTGGTCTTTTTACAGACGTGTTATTTTAACTTCACATCTCAAAATCTTATTAAAAAAAAGTACCAATAAATTAACACTTAAAAACTTAAGGTGGTTTTGATTTCAGTCCCAAGAAATCATATGAACTGATACATATTTCCAGGTTTTAAAATTAAGACACTAGGATTGGATTCTCAGTTAGTACTGAGTTCTCAAAACTCATCATTACTACCTAGTAAACACTATATATATATATATATAATACACACACACCTCATTAATCTTGTTGTATTATTAAAGCATTGGGAAAAAAACACAGCTAATAACAGAGCAAGAACATTCTGATAGCTATACTAATTCACCGACTGTCTCAATAACTGATTCTGAGACATTCAAATTCCAATGAAAGTCGTTGCTTAAGGTACATATTTAAGGTTAAATGATTCATCACCCAGAACACCATTACAGGCACCCATAGTGCCCATACTATGATCTCAGAATGGTGGATTATTCAGTCACTTCAGCATTATCACATCATCCTCGTAAACATTTAAAATGATAGCACAAAACAGAATAAACTTAAATAAACCGATGTAATTAAGGTTGCATATCTGAGGAAGGGGAAAAAAAGTGGGCCTCTCACGTTACAACCAAGATATTGCCTTAGAATTTAGGAGCATATGAGATACTAAAGATATATTAATATACTGCAAAATTTGCAGTCTTTTCACTACAATTTCTTCCGCTGTGCATGCCTGTTGAGATTGGCAATCAGCATTAAAAAACAATTATCTTTTGCAGTTGGAATGCTATATAAATCGGAAGGTAACTTTGCCCAGCTCAGAACAATCAACGACACATTCACGTCAAACAATTCAACAGCTCTCAAATATTGTACTGGGACATCACAGAATCAAAATATATGGCTTTCAAAACTATCTGCAAGAAGTCTTGCACCACTAAAACCATCCTTTTTAATTAAAAGAAACATTGATACTTACTTGGTTAGGTTCCAGTTAATTCATTTTTCTTAATACAAAAGTCTCTTTTGCCCAGTGCATAACCAGTTTTGTTTTTTACTGATGTTACTGTATCTCACCCGTAAGTAATTTGATTTAATAATACTGGAAATAGTAAGTGCAATTTGTGTCAGCACTGAGCAAAGAGTCTAAAATTTGACTGAAAACTGACCCTGACAGTCTCAATAACCAAATATCATCTGATAATTTCATTTTATGTTCACATCAATAAACCCTGGAGGGAGGAAGATGCAGTGGGTAATTGTAAAGGCATATTAATTTTGGGCCTTAGAACCTTGAATTAATTAAAAATAAGTATAAGTTTTAAATTGTATTTCTACAGAAGAGACAATGGTAGTGCTCCACAGCATAAAAGCTATTCTTTTACAAAGGAGCAAACTCTAAGAAAACGAGGACAGAGGTGAAGGTAATAGTAAACAAAGATTAACACAGAAATGATTCTCTGAAGTTGGCATGCAGAGGTGATAACACATATTCACAAAGAAACCAATGATAAAAACATATCTTTTAAGGAATGTTTTCATAACAAAGTTTCATTACAGTATACAAATTGAAAATAGCGACACACTACAGTAAACACAGATAAAGGGGAACTCAGGAAAAAAAAATCTGATATCACACACACACAAAAATATATACACACACATACAGGGAGCTAGTATCAAAAAAGTCTAGTAATGTGAAGTATCATTTGGACCAAAGTGTCCTGCTATCACAAGGAACCATAATGTGCAATCCCATTTCCCCCCTCCACCCTAAAAAAAAATTATAACTGTGTATAATTATTAAAAAATACCATCAGAAGGATATTACACATTCAACTCTTGACTGTTACACACTTTCTCCTGATTTCTGAGTCTAATACTTCTATACCCATACTGGAAACAACCCCCAACCCACACACACACACCCCTAATACATCTTTGTCACAAAAAGAGCTTGCTCCTTGATGTACCAGACAAGCCTCCTGAACACCTATTTTCCTAGCAATACTGTGTTCTTAATTCCACTTTACATAATTCTCCTGTTCCTCTGTATGGCTTTCTCCACCCTCCTGCTGCTGCCCCAGGGGGTAAAAGAAATGAATTTAGGATGAGCAATTATGGTAATCTACAATATCAAACTGTGTGCGGTGAAGGGGAGGAGGGAAAAAAAAGACAAAAGAAAGATTTGGCGTTGTAAACAGTACTTACAGCCTGCGTTGCTACCTTTGAATAGAGTGATGCAGTGGGCTCAACGCAATTCTGATCCAGAAACAGGAGGCTTACTATCAAAGTCTCCAAACCTAAATTCCCTACTTAATACACTACTATGCCTCACGTCTCCAAGAACTGCTCAGAACCGTGGTACTCCTCCAGCCCGGAAGATTCAGCTAGACTGCCCTCTGCTGTCTGCATTTACACGTAAAAATCACTCAGCCTACAGCAGCCAAAACAGGGGAAGGAAATAGATGGAAAGTAATGTAAATTGTATGTCAATGTTAAAAAGCAGAAGTTATTGGCAAAACAATTCTGCTCTCTAAATCTGATCTGAGACTAGATCATATATATTCAACTATAAATGCATTGAGGATGCAATGAGGAGGGGTCTGTGAGGTTGGACGATAGCCGTTTACCTGAAGGAAACCAAAGACAGACAAGAATAACAGCATTTTCAGCCAAAAAACAAGTTAAATGCTTGCTCCATAAGTTAGTTATTTTCTCATCCTTAGAAAAATAAAATAATAAACACAAAGTGGTGCTAACCTTGGGAAATGATTTTTTTAAGCAAAAGGGATATACTCTTACAAATACACCCATGAGAAAGACCAGTAAGACCAACAGATAAAAAACAAAACAAAAATATTTAGAAAATTGTCAACTCTGTGAAATTCAGTCTCGGGACTTGCTTATACTCAGTGTTAAAGGTAAAAACGTCTCCATCAGTTTTTGTGTTTCCTTCTCATCATACTTTCAAGCACAATTTTCCCATGTTTCTGAGCAACAGATTTATGCATGGATATGTAAGAAAAAGAAAACTCTGAATTAACCTAGTCTGTATTTTAACTGTTAAGAAATACCCATATTGTTTGGAAAAGGAGTTCTTTCAGAACTGTTTAAGACAAAGCAGTATTCATTTACTAAAAACTTCTGGAAAGTAAATTCACCTTGTATGTCATGAGCGCCCTATAAACAAAAATACTATGCACTAAGCACTTAGTTGTCGGACTGGGTTTAAGAAAAATTATGATTCACCACAAGACTTTCTTAGAACACGGTTCTCTGTTAGCCCTATGCTAACGTCATATCACATTAAAATGTTGGCTGTTTAATTTCACATTCAAAGTTGTGAATACAAACAAAATATTTTAACTACCACACCAGGTAAGTGCACACAAACTTATTCTAATAAATAGCAGAACACATTCTTTGCAGTTTTGTTATGCGGGTCAGATACCGATTTTCCAAAGCACTCTGATACAGCATTCATAAGGTTACTATTAACTACCCACAACATCAGGACCCATTTTCCTGAAAAATGCAAATACAACCCATGGGCTGGAAAAATCAGAAGTGACTATTTAATTATCTTCCCATAACCTTCTCAAATTACTCTTTCAAAAATAAGCAAGTCAACCCATGCATTCTTTAAACTGCACATGTCAAACTAAAGAAATAATTTAAAAAGCGATTTAAATGCTAATCAAATACTAAAAAAAAAAAAAAGAGCCTCTCAGATAGCTATTACATTTTAAGGGCCTCTCTATAATTCTACTACTCAACGAGAACTTTGCACCGAATTGGCACTGTAGTCGCTTTGAATATGTCCACCAATCACAGAGTATGTGAACGCTTCACACCAGCTTTTTATTCACCAAAACACTGGCACCCTCAACCCAAGGAGCAGAAAGTAGCTGAGAAATAATGTTTTCCTGACACTCCCACAGTTCTCTGGCCAACGCAACCAATCAGTCCTAGTCTGCAGTAGCTGAAGTTCTATTACCCTGTCCTTCTGCACTAATACTCTGTATCAAATACCATGCTAGATAGTTTCTTATTCACTATTAAGATGGGCATTGTTGAAGACTCTTCTAACAGTTGCCATGAGCAACATTATCAACATCTGCCATGCATTTGTTGTCATAGTCTCTCTGAAGGGTGGAAAAAAATTATAGTAGTATTCTGTTTTAAAATTTGATTCATACAAGCATGTCTAAGTTTGTCAAAACACGTCAAGATCAAAGAAAACTACTGTAGACTTAGAACAGAAGCTGGTAAGGATGTATGCTTTTTAGTCACAGGGAATTTCACTGCATTTGGATCATCTCCCAAGAGCATTATTTTTCTGCAGACAATATTACTCCATTGTTCCATGAACCAGAGAAGTGATGCCACAGATCAGCTCCAGTCCCTCTCACCTCCCATGAGGTTTGGTTAAGCTTCTAAATGACTGGCACCCAAAACACTGGCTCCCTTAATCTAAATTCAATATTCTACAGGAATGTAATTAGGAGGAGTTGAAGATAACTCTTAAATGTCTGCAGTAAGCCAGAGTTGCTAAGAGCAGCGTAGCATTTATCAGCCACTGGGGTTTACCAGTTCTTTGTAAATCTGGGCTTGACAAAGGCGCAGGTGATTGAGGATAGATCATAACTCACGTGAATGATACAGAGTCTTCAAGAGGTACAATCTTTCAGCCAACAAGATATTCTGCACAGCATTACTGA